ACCTTTGCTGCAGCTGGTTTTTGTTTGGAGGGGTCAATCCTGCTGTGCCAAGCACTCCCTGGGATGCTCTGGGATGCCTTAGAGGATCAGTGAGTGTTCCCATATCCAGGTCCAACCTCAAAGCTGGATCCATGAGGATCTGACTGCCCACTGGAGTCTTCCCCCCCCCAGGCCTTTGCATTCCAAGCCAGTGTTACGTGTTTGAACCAAAAGTACCTTCTTTTCGTGTTGTTTGTCAGTCTGTGTGTTTTAGGGCATGGAGGTCATTCCAGGGGCACTGTGGGGCACCAGGGGGGTCAGAGGCTTTCCAGGGATGGGGGTGGGCAATGCCTGCCTGATCCCAAAGGATCAGCTTGGAAGGACAGGACACTGAGTGTAAAGAGCCAAAATATTCAGGCACTTCCCCCCTGAGCAGGGGCAGGGCTGGAGGAGGAGCCCAATCCCAGGGTGATGCTCAGAGGTCCTGGCCCCTCATCCATTTCCTCTGGAGCACCTTGGGATCCTAAAATTGGTCATTTTAGGGCAGGTCAGCCCCAAAATTTCTGCTGCTTGAAAAGAAAATGCTGGTGGAGGGGCAGGGAGTGGCCAAGAGGGAGCTCCAGCCCAGGGGGGTTTGCAAAGGGAGGTTGTTACACCGTTGGCTCGTGGCTGGGGGTTGTCCCCCTGAGCCCACGGGAGGAAAAGGTGGGATGGATGGAAAGGAGGGAAGAGGGGATGGCTGGAGGGTGAAGGGAACACGCCCCAAAGGAGGAAAGGGATGCTGCCCACTGGGAAGTTAAGCCCTGGCTCATCTCCTGGGCACACAGGGAGGGTGGGGAAAGCAGAGGAGAGGAAAATTGGGATGTCGTGGCTGAGTCCCCTCCATCAGTGAGGCACCAGGGCAGAGCTCCACTGTGTCCTCTGAGCAGCTGGAAAGGGAGTGCAGGGAGATGGGAGGGCACAGAGGGCACAGGGGAGCAGCTGGTACAGGGCATCCCAGCAGGACACTCCGTGTGGGTTGGATTTCCAGCAGTTGGAGGGGCTTGGGGGATGTTCAGGGTCCTGTCTTGCTGCAAAGTGCCCTGAGCTTCCCCAGCATGGGTCACTTAGAACCCCCTTACACCCACAGAAAGGTACCAGGCACTCCAGCTCCTGCCCTGGCACCGTGCCCTGTCCCAGGACATCCCTCCTGCTTTGCTGGGTTGCTCCACTGCAGCTGAAGTGCCTTTTCCAAGCAAAAAACTGGGATAAAATTTCCCTCCAGTAGAAGGAAGTGCAGGTTCAGGTACAACCCCATTGTCCTGCCAGGCTAAATCCCACTTCCACCCCTCCATGCTTATTATTCCAGGTTTCCAAGCTGTGTTCCCAGTGACTTTGGGGAGGTGGTTTAGAGGTTGGAAAGGGTGAGCCATGGGGAGCAGCTCTGGTTTTCGGAAGCAGCCCCTGGTTGGAGTTTCTCCATCGTTTCTCCAAACCATCCCATGCCAGGGCCATCAGGGCCATCATTTTCTCTTTTCTTTTCCTTTTCATTCCCACTCCAGGGACCATCCCCGAGATGTTTGCTGTTTATACACTGGAAATTTGCAGATTTGTCTTTGTTTCTTTTGATTTTGTTCCTTTTTCCTCCTCCTCCTGCCTTCCCTGCTGGCCTTTGGCGTGGGCTGTGCTGGACCAGCCTTGCTCAGCCCAGCCCCTCTGACCTCCTGGCCTTCAGCTCCATGGAAATTTGGGATCCCACCCGTGCTGGGATATCCAGAAGGCTGGATTGGAGGGGGAGGATGAGCTGGGACTCACCCCTGGGCTGGTTTCTCTGCGTGGGGGTGAACTCCACCCCCATGGCCGTTGGAAATCGGGTGGGTTTGCCTTGTTTTGGGATGTCTCAGGTGCTTTGGGGTTTTCTTGGGAATATTTTCTGTGTCCTGCTCATTTTCTACTCTTCTCCATGTGGTTGATGTCCCTTGGTCCCTCTGGCAGAGCCTGAGCCCTTCTTTACAAACAGCTCTCGGGGGCCTTAACGGTCGATATTTGGGACCAAAAAAGAGGGGGAAAAACCCCAATAATGATAAAAAACACAAGCACTTTTCTGCTGCCCATCTCTCTCCATCCCCATGTGTGGGACCACCATAATCCTTGGACATTCCTGTGTGTCCAAGTGTAAATCCATGTTATTCCCACACATCCTCATCCAGTCGTGACCGTTCAGGTGGAGAAAGAACCAAAAAAGAAAAGATAAAATGAGATTTGACCTCCTCACGTTTCCCAAACCAACCCCTCCTCCAAAAAAGGAGTCCCAGAAATCCCCAGGAAATCCAGGAATCGCCTCCATCTTCTGCTTCTTGCTTTTTTTGGAGGGGTTTTCTCCCAGGTTGTAGGACTTGATTGCTTATTCCATTGGAAAATTGGGATGCCTTGGCGTGCTCTGCTCTCTGGTAGGGTCTATATGATACCCCTGAGCTGTTGTCTACATTCCAAAGAGGTTTAAATAAATGATAAAATCTATGTATACATATATGTTATAATGGAATATCTCCAGGAATTAACTGCCTCAGTAAAAAAAAAAAAAAAAAAAAAGAAAAAAAAAAGGAAAAAAAAAGGAAAAAAAAGTCTTTTTTTTGGTTTTATTTTGTTTTTACGCATTTTTTTTAAGCTGATAAACAGAGAAGAAGAAGAAGAAGAAGAAAAAAAAGAGATTGTTATATTGTGCTGTTCGACTATTTTCCAACTTGTATTTTCATATAATTTATATTTTTTAAAAGTGGGGCGGGGAAAAAAAAAAAAAAGAAGTTTAAAAGTGAGATTTAACAAAAAAAAAAAAAAGAAAAAAAAGGAAAAAGCAGGTGCTTTTTAAAAAAAACCCCTGAGCTGAGGTAGCTTAGAGATGTAGCGACGTGTGTGTGTGTCTGTGTGGTGCGTTTTGGTCTGTTTTGGTCTTTTGTTTTTAAAGGATACAAAATTAAAAAGAAATCCCTCCTGCATTGAATTGTTGAGGAAGGGGGGATTGGTTCTGTTTGAATTGCTGATGCTGGCACATCATTTTGCTGGAGAGTTTTTTATATACTGTAGCCTTATTTCATATCGTATTTTAAACCATGTG